CACACACACACACTCCCATCTTTCATATTGCCATGGCCTATTAACCCTTACAACACCCCTACATACGTCCTCTGACACCACACCACAGTTTATTACAGACAGGAACCCTCAGGATATAAACATGTCGTTTTAAAGAAAAACATATCCTTCACATGTTGGAACCCAAGACGTGCACAAAAAACTTTTCAGGAGGTCATAGTACCTTGGTGGTCAGTGCAGCGGTCTTGAAATCCTGAGGCTGCTGGTTAGAGCCCAGAATGTGCCAGGAATGGTATCAGGTGTAAAATGATTTCCTGTTCTTTCATTTGCTGTGGCTACTCTACTTCTTCTTCTACTACGTCTTCTTCTACTACTTATTCCAGTTATTTAACTGTTAACAATGGTGTACCACAAGGCTCAGTCTTAGGGCCCACCCTCTTTACAATCTACATAAGTAATGTAGGTCAGATCATTCCTGATGCATCCACATGCTGACGACACAGTTGCTTATTGTCGAGCTAGAACAGTTGCCAATGTTTTCCAGCTTTTACAGTCTGCATTCGACATCATTCATTCAGATTTGTTCCGTCTCAAACTGGCGCTAAATGCTGATAAAACCAAAGGGATTTTGTTTTCAAACAGGAAGTTGGTACGAGCAGTCCTTCCTTCTATCTTATCTCTGAATGGTGTATAGAGTTTGTCAATTCTTACAAATACTTGGGAATCTTGGTTGATGCACATCTCTCTTTTAAGCCTCATGTCAAAAACTTGATAAAGAAATTGAAATTAAAACTGGGTTTCTTTTTCAGAAATAGATCTTAGGTCTAACTCTGAACGCTAGAAAACGCCTTGTAGCTGCAACTTTTCTTCCCTCCATTGACTATGGTGACATTATTTATATGAATTGTCCTGCAAGCACCCTGCAGATGTTGGATGCTGTCTATCACTGTACGTTAAGATTCAAAACTGGTTGTAACTACCGTACCCATCACTGCACCCTGTGTTCACTGGTTAACTGGTCATCATTAACTTCACACACTCTCTCACTGATACAGTTTCCTCTTTAAATAACTCCTTGGTCTGCTGCCTTCATACATCTCCTCCTACATGTCACGTTGTCAGTGTAGCTACAGCGTGCGCTCTCAAGACATCATTACCTGCAGCGCCCCCTCAGTGCGGACTGAATTCAGCAAAAGGGCCTTCTCTTGCTCTGCTCCTTTAACCTGGAACATCTTGCAAAAAGAGCTAAAGCTGTCAACTTTGACCTCTGTAAGGGATTTTAAACAACTGGACATTTTAGTATTTTACCCCGTTTCATTATGTAGCTTGTTTTTATTTTGTTTTTTTTATCACTACTTTTACTTACTTTTCATTTTATATGCTTTTTATGACTGTTTATTGTTGTTTGTACCTCATCTATGTTTTTTTTTGTTGTTGTTTAAAACAGGTCTCTCTTGTAAATGAGTCCTCTTGACTCAATGAGACTAACCTGTATATATAATGGTTGAATGAATGAAAATCCCTGCAGAAGGGAGCAGTTGAGAGAAAAAGATCACTGACTTTAAAAACTGTGCGTTTCAAATCAAGCCTACTGTTTAACATTGTACATTTTCTCTGCATGCCCTTTTCTACCTCTTCCTTTCAGAGGATGAGTTGGACCCCGATGCAGCTGAATTTGATCTGGGCACCAAGATAAAGACTCCCAAGGATGTGATGCTGGAGGAGCTGTCCCTGATGAAAAACAAGGGATCCAAGATGTTCCAGATGAGGCAGCAGAGAGTTGAGAAGTTCATCGTGACTAACGAGAACCTGGTTAGAGTTAAAGCAACAAATGGACTGTAGTGTATGTGGTGGTGTGTCCACGCGTGTGAGCTGACGAGGTTCTTTCTTCTGTTTTCACCCTGCAGCAGAACCTCCAGAACCTGCTCACAATTCCTCCCCCTGTTCCACCAAAGCCTGAAATGCCAAAAGCAGAAAGTAGGCTCATACATACAAGAAGTTTAGTTGAGCACTCAGCTGTCTTGTTTAGGTTCAACTTTTTAGCTTTCACATCTTATTTCCAGCATCATTAACAAATATCTGTCACGTCATTTAGCACCCGTAGTGCAGTTTTACAGAAAATTCAGGTTCAATTGTTGCTTTAAGGTTCATTTTTCTCTCAATAGTTTATGTTTTATTTAATTTCTCCTGTTTAAACTCTTCTGTTGTGCATTTCAGAGGTGGATGAAACAGTGAATGATGAGGAAGAAAAGGCAAAGAGGAGAAAGGAGTATGCACCTACCTACGTGTCGCCATGGGAACGGGCCATGCTCAACAACGAGGAGCTGAAAGCCACCATGAAGCCTCTCATGCCAGGACCCATCCAAATCCACCCAGACCTGCCTCAGTACAAGAGCTTCAACAGGTACGCAGGAACACATGAAATGAAAAATAACAATGTGTAAAGTTTGCACTGTTTAATATATTTGCTTCAAAATCAGAATGTCTTGTCAAAAATCATTAGTTGCAGATTGTTTATTGTGTGAATGTTTATGAAGCATTGTGCTCCATTTTTCTTCCGTATGTTTTTCAGCATCTTTCTCGTTCAACAATTTTTGTGCTATTTCAACAAATCATATCAAAACGTTCAGCTCATTCAGAAGAAGCATGCTATGACTTTTGTTATTGGTGCAACTTTAGCTTTTTGAATTATTTAGTCTTTTCTGCCTTTTAAATGAATTGAGATCATTTTACAGCCTTCAAATCTTTAGATCTGTTTACAACCTTTTACTGCTCCTTTCACATTTTGTCTGGTTCAGCTTCTTTCAGCTTCCTTGTGCAAATTTATTTTTTCAGCTACTTTCGGCTACTTTCAGCAGTTTTGTGCTTCTTTCAGCTTTATTCTGCTAACTACAACATTTTTGTGCTTCTTCTAACTTCTTTCTGCTAATTTCAACTTGTTATGCTCCTTTCAGCTTATTTCTGTGTTACAGCTATTTCTACTATTTCAGCCCATATTTAGCTGTTTTATACAAATTTTAGCATTTTCAGCTAGCTCCACATTTTTTGCACTAATTTCAACTTTTTTCATCCTAATTCAGCAAAAATGTGCTCTCTTAACTTCCTTCTGGTACTTTCAGCTTCTTTCTGTCTTTTTTAGCTACTTTTCATCGGGTTTTTTGGGACAAATTTCAGCTTTTTTTCAGATCATTTCTACTTTTTGTGTTAATTTTTGCTTCCTTCAATCTAAATGGGCAAACATTTTCTTTCTGCTTTCTTCTGATAATTTAAGCTTGCTCTACCTTTTCAGCTACTTTTTTATTCTTATTTTTTTTTTTAGCATTTTGTACTTTCAGCTGTTTTTAGATAAATTTATGTTTACTGTGGTAATTGCTGCTAATTTCAGTCTAATTAACTTCTTTCTGCTCCTTTCAGCTTATTTATAACAGTTCCAGATTTTCTATTTCAGCTACTATTTAGTTGTTGTTTTTTTTGTGCTAAATTTAGTTTTTTCAGCTTTTTTCCCCCCCACATTTATTTCAGCTCATTTATTCATCTTCCACTTCCTTCTGGCAGTTTAAGTTTCTTTCTGCCTTTTCAGCTTCTTTTCAGCTGTTTTTTTAGTGCCAATTACAGCTTTTTAAAGCTAATTTCCTATTGTTTGTGCTTGTTTCTGCTTATTTAAACCTAATTCTGCAGAGATGAGTTGTTTCCTCTGCTAACTTTGACTTGTTCTTCCGTTTCAGCTACTTTTCAGCATATTTTAGCTAATTTCAACTATTTTTTTTGCAAATTCTTCAGCAATAAGCACTGACACCGCAATATTTCAGGAAATGCCATTTCCCTAGTTTGTTATTGTTAAGCTAAGTTTACTCCTGGGTATTGGGCGGAAGGCTTTGACCATTTGTTCGGCTCGTGGAACAGAAGATCAGACAGTAATCTTGTAGAGTTGCTAAGCAGGGTGTAGGTCTAGAAAAGAGCTATGATTGTGTTCCCCGAGACATGGGATGAAGAGGAACATGTGATGGGCTATAATCAGTACAAAGTGTAGGTTAGACTCTGTCGGGACCACCTCTTGTCTCCAACCCTGTCCGTGGTGCTCATGGATACGATGTCAAGGTGCTGTTGTGGAGAGCAGAGTGTCAGGTTTGAGAGCCTCAGGGTCTCATCTCTGTTTTTTGCAGTTGATGTGGCTCTGTTGGCATCATCAGACCTTCAGTGAGCACTGATGCTGGTTGCAGCTGAGTGTGAAGCAGTTGGGATGAGAGCCAGCTCCTGTAAGTCTGAGGCCATGGTTCTGAACTGGAAAAAGGTGGAATGTTCTCCGAACAATTGAGTCTTTGCCTCATATGGCTTCACGTTTTGTTTATGAGTAATGTTAGGACGGAGCAGGAGATGGACGGATGACTCGGGGCCTTGTATGCATTAACGAGGGGAATGCTCCGGTCTTGATGGATCGTGACCAAAAGAACGAGATCCAAGTAAAGATGCAAGTGAGTGAAATAAGCTTCATCTGTTGGATGGCTGCGCTCAGCCCTAGAGATAAAGCCCAAAGTTCCAGAGCTGCTGCTCCTCCACATTGGGAGGAGTCGGTTGAGTTGGTTTGTGATTTTGATCCCTCCTAGAAGCCACAGTGTAGAGTTTTTTTGGGGCTTGTACACCAGGGAGGAGAACATAGGGCAATCCCAGAGCTCACTGGTGGGATTACTGGTACATTTCCTTTCTGGCCTAGAAATGCCTTTGGATTCCACAGGAAGAGCCGAAGAGAGAGACATATGGGTTTTCCTCCTTGACCTGTTGCCTTTGGGATCCAACCATATAGGGCAGCAAATGGATGGATGGATGGTATATTATTACAATCTTTTATCTAACTCTACCTCAAAGGTGATGATCATGCATCACATTGAATTAACTTTTTATAAATCTGCTTAAGAGCTCTTTTACAAATGAAAGAACAAGATATTCTCTGGATTATTCTGTTCTTTTCTCTTTGAAAAATGACCATTGTGAGCTGTTCCGAACGAGACATTAAGAACATTTATGCCTTCAAATATCATCAGATGTTACACAAACTAGTTACATTTACCATTTAGGACTAAAAGATCTTTAACAACAACTAACAGAACAGATTCCAGAAACTGGATTTATTGAAACAGAAGCATTTTGACCTGTTAGTTTATTTAAGGATCAAATTCCAACAACGATGAACCCGTGACATTTCCGGATGTATCTTCAACATTTCACGCAAATCTTTATTTGTTTCCCTGTTTTTTTATTGCACGTATGATTAGAATTGATTATAGTCTTTAAACCCAGTTAGCTCAATATTTATGTCGGACAAGACAAGCCTCTTGAAGCCTCTCTTGAAAATCCCTTTTGACAAATGATATCCAAGGATAGTGGCAATAATAAAACAAGATTATGTCAGATAAGCATTAATGAATGTGAGAGAAAATGTCTTTAAATAAGACAAAAACAAAAGAATAATAGAAAATAGAAATGTGTCACAATGAAACTGATCTTCTCAGCTGTGTTTCCATGACTTAAATTGTTTGCAAAGAAGACGTGTTTAATGTTTTTTGTTTTTTTTCTGATCTACAGTGCCTATTAAAATAATTCACCCTTTTGGATGTTTGATGCTTTTACTGCTGTCATAAATCAATTATAATTAATATAGATAGGTCTTATTTACAACGTCATAAAATTAAATGTCTTCAGTGTCAAAGAGAAAGCAAATTTCTACAGAGTAATATCAATTAAATAAAAATATATTGTATAAAATACATTCTGCTCAGGTTTTAGGTTGTAGATTCCATTGCTGGATTCCACAAGGCAAGAAGTGGGGATAAAGTTTTTGCCTGTGTGTATTGTCTGTCTGTTAGCAAAATATCTCGTGGACTAGTGGAGGGATTTTAAATAAATGTTTGGAAAGTAATTAATAAATAAAATTACAACTGGTTAACGTTTGGAGAAAATCCAACTCAACATGGCCACCACAGCTAATCAACGTCAACAAACAGAAAATTGTCTGTAACTCAATCAGTTTTATGAAAAATGAGTTGAAATTTGACGTGGTAGTAGCTGAGACTCATATTCCACACATGCTTTGAGCACTTACACACCTCTTGAGATCTTGAAATAATTCGCAAATTGAGATTTACAAAGTTTAACTAGAGAAAAAGCATTTCCTGCAAAAATGCAGAGTGAATGCTTATTGCTGAAGAACTTGCTGAAAACAGCTGATATTAGCTAAATACATGCTGAAATGCAGCTGAGATGGAAGAACAAGTCTAAGTTAGCAGAAGAAATCAGAAAGAACACATATTTGTTGAATTAGGTTTTAATAAACAGAAATTAACAGAAAATTTTAAGAAATTAGCTAAAAAAAAGCTGAAATTAGCTAAAATAAAATGGCTGAAAAGTAGATGAAAAGGCAGAAAGAAGTTTAACCTACCAGAAGGAAGTGGAAGGAGATTAAATGACCTCCAAAATGTGTGATTCGAAGAAAAAAAGCTATATTTAGCACAAAACGGTTAAAAAGTAGCTGAAAGAGCAGAAAAAGCTGAAACTAGCAGAAAAAAGCTGAAACGAGCATAACAAGCTGAAATTAACAGAAAAAGTTACGATGTACAAAAATGTTGTAGTTAGCAGAAAGAATCAAAAAGGAGCACAAAACAGCTGAAAAAAACAGTTGAAATTAGCTGAAAGTAGCTGAAAATTTTTTAAATTTGCAAGAGGAAGCTGAAAGAAGCTGAAAAGGAACAAAACGGCTGAGAATAACAGAAATTACCATGAAAAACTTCAATTTGTCTGAAAACAGCTGAAATGAGTTAAAACATGTTATAAAAAGTAGCTGAAAATGTATAACAGGCTTAAATTAGCACAAGAAATCAGAGAACACATTTGCTGAAAGAAGCAGAAATGAGCACAAAATAGTGGAAATTATATATATATAAGCCAAAATTAGCAAAAACACAGCTGAAATGTAGCTAAAAATGCAGAAAGAAGCTTAAATTAGGAAGTGGATAGAGCAAGTTTTTTCTGAATTAGGCTGAAAAAAGTTGAAATGAGTGCAAAAAATGTGGAATTTGTTGAAAAAGCTTACATTATCATAAACATCTAAATACTAGCTGAAATTGTAGAAAAATCTGAAACAGAAATAAGCTGAAAGGAGCATAACAAGCTGAAATTAACAGGAAAAGTTAGAAGAAGCATAACAATGTTGTAGTTAGCAGAAAAATCTGAATGGAGCACAAAACAGTCAAGAGAACAGCTGAAATTAGCTGAAAGTAGCTGAAAAAATGTTTTTTTGGACAAGGAAGCTGAAAGAAGAACCAGAACAAAATGTGAAAGGAGCAGTAAAATATTATAAACACATCTAAGATGGAAAATGAGCTCAATTAATTTTCTATAAGAAAAAAATGGCAGAAAAGGCTAAATATTTCAAATAGCTGAAGTTGCACCAATACCAACAGTCATAGCAGGATTGTCATGAAAGAGCTGAACGTTTTGATTTATGATTTGTTGAAATAGCACAATGTGGAACAAGAAAGATGCTGAAAAATGTATTGAAAAGGGATCACAATAGTGTGAATGCTTCATAACCATTCACACTATTAAAATGGTTACAACCGTCATCGTTCATCACAAAATGAATTCAGTCCAACACTGACATGAAAGGTGGCGGGCGATATGCATTCAAGCAAAAAATGCTGAGCCTGTACTTATGTAGGGTTTATGCCTTTATGTGAGCAGTTTTTGTTTCTGTGCCTGAAGATGAACGCTCAGTAAGAAAAGAGTCTTTCTAGCTTCCCTTCATCGTTCTCGTTTCTTCCCCAGGACGGCGCTGCCATACGGCGGCGTCGACAAGGCGTCCAAGATGCTGACCTTCGAGCTCCCAGAGCTCAGCAATGCTGGCGAGGAGCCCGAGCCTCTCCCCGCCCAGCAGGCCGACATCCGCTCTCGGCCCTCGTTCAACCGCACGCCCATCGGCTGGGTCTGCAGCGAAGACAGCGCACTCATCCACACGGACCTGGAGGCCAAGGCCCCCTTTGACGGGGAGACTGATGACCTGTGATCCCCCCCCCCCCCCCCCCCACACACACACATGCAGACCTGAGCCTATTTACAACATAAGCAGTCAGAAACACACACCAAGTGAAACTCACACATGAAGAATGCACTTTCAGCTGTGTGAAGACACGAAACCAACAGACTGACGACTTGTCATAAACACCGAGAAGATTCTCCTCGTTAGAACTGCAGAGAAAAACACAATGAAAAGAAGAAAGTATCTCCTGTCTTAACCCTTAATAAAAGTCTTGATGTCAGATCTGAGTGAACAGCTACGGAGAAGCACTCTGCACTCTTAAAACAAAGTAAATGTGCAATAAATGTCCCCTTTACACCGTCTCTTTTTATTGCTTGTGGACTTTCAATCATCTTTGGACTCCTTTTTTAAACAGCTGTAAATGACATGTGGTGAAAGATGAATAAACACACGCACACAAAAAATTGAAGCTGAAGCTTGAAACATATTCTTTATGTTTAATTTATAAACGTTTATAGTCCACTGAAGATTATTGGCCAACTTCAAGCCGCTTTTATTCTCAGACAGAGTGTACTGTATTTTCCAGACTACGTCGCTTGGTCGCATCAGTCAATTGTTTTTTCCTCCTCGTGAGGAGGAACAAACAATATATAAGTCACATTTATTTACAAGTGTATTTCACAAGGTGCAAGAAGACATTTAATTTGAAATAATAACACACAGAACATACCTGGGATCCTGAACAGGCTTAATTACCATAAGAAGCCAACGAGTCCGAAAAGCAAATTACCGGTAAATTCACCAGTTTCATTCCACATCACTTTTGGGGGCATTTTACTTGTGTTAAGTTTTTCTACATATATTTATGTACAAATATTTATATAGAAATATATATATATTTCTACATATATTTACTGTATGTACATTTTACATATATACATGTATTTTCATAATTTCATTGTGAAAAGCCTAGAGGCCTCTTGCGGCTGCAGATGGAAACTTTACTCTTTGGTTCGTGTCGGTATGAACGAACATTTAACGCGTTGGTCAAAAATTGCGTCACGAGTAGGGAAAAAACTAGGGGTGTGATGGTACACTAAAATCACATTTCGGTTCGGTTTCAAGGAGGGCTCGGTTCGGTTAATAAGATTATAATTTAAAATTAAACAAGTTAATTAGATCACAATAATACAATACCTCTTCTTGCATGGTCATCATTTCTGATAGGAGGTGGTTGAATCGCTCATCTTCGATGTGACAGTTCTTTAAATCTGGGGTCGGGCTTGTTGACGATCCGTTTGAGCTTTTTCATAAAGTGCTACAGCTTTTTATCTGAAGTGTTGACGTGATGATGTCGTAGACTTTTAGCGGGGCTCAAGAACTTTATGCTTAAAGCCGGCGCGTCACCAACATTCAGACGTAGATCCAGAGCTTTAAAAACTCCTACAGCTTGTGTTATTGCTTTGGACTGATCTGAATTAACCTGATAAAGGTTGTTGAAATGATGCTGTTATCCGTCTTTGCACCAAGCTACGTTCACTTTCGGATGATGTCATTTCAAGCGCGTTGACAAGTTCGACGTGTTGCCTGCTGCAGATCCAATCCATGTGAACCAACGTCGACACACAGCTTTGGATTTGTTCACTTGTCTTTTAACAAGAAAGCCATAATGTTCACCGTAACGAGATGCTAGGCTGCTAATGCTGCGCGTGCTGCAAGATAATAGCGCCGTGCTAAAACACACTTGGGAACTTTAGTTCCGTGGCGCGTAATCTCTCGTTAATAAAATTGAATGAGTGAAAAAATAACTAAAAAGGTACACGTGTGGACCGAACCGAACACGCCGTACCAAAACATGTACCGTTACACCACTAGAAAAAACGTAGTCGCTTCCGATTATACGTCGTAGAACTGTCCAAACTATGAAAAAAGTGTGACTTATAGTTGTGAAAATACGGTAACTGACAGTTCAGTTTGTTAAACAGTGATTCAAATGAGTGAAAAAAGGGTTTTGTAGAAGTCAAACTTTAGCAAAAACAGAAACTTCTACTATAGCAGCATTAAGAACATTTAAAATCCTTCTTGTTTGACAGAAATAAAATATAAAAAAATGTAACTATTGTTTAATGCAATGAGGGGATGCATGAGCTAATAATTAAAAATATGCATAGTTTTAAACATGTGCCATAATTTGAATTTTCACTTCGTAATAAATCATAATATTGTAAATTTATTGATATTTAGCAGGTTGTTTGTTCAAGTTGGATTTTTTTTCCCCCACACTTGAAATCTTTGCAGCATTTCAAGGCACAAAGATGCTTTAAAAAAAAAAAAAAATCTCCAGAGAGCTGATAAATAAACTAAAGCAATTCCGTCCTTTGGTGTCTTCCACCCTGGTCTGAAAAAATAAAAATAAAATAAAATAATAAACACATCTGCAGCTGGTGTTAGCACAATATTCAGCAATTCAACAAACTTTAAAGTTAACAGCTCATAAAGAGTATCCTTTAAACAATTCATTTAAATCGTTATTTTATCAAACAGCATTTTTCCTTTTAGGTAAATAATGTTTCTGTATATTATTTTAACTTTTTAACTATATAGATTGGTATAAAAATACGAAAATAAAATGAAAAGAAAACCAACTGGTCCTCAACAGATGTTAAAATAAATTTATTAACAACAGTTTTAAAAGCTAAATGTGTGTGAGCAAAGTTTTTTTTTAATCAGAAATAATATTTTATAATGTTCATTCTGAAATGTTACACTTGAGTGCAAACTGCAAATCACTTTAAACATATTGTTTAAAAAAATGTTTAAATATTTGAAATAATTATTCAAGCTTTTGCTGACCTTTAACATAACACGTCATATTGGCTATTATTCCATCAGACTACGTGTTTTCCTTTATTTTGAAAATCAAAATGTAACTTTTATGACATTAAAGGAACTGTTTAAAATTCTGTTGCTCAGTTAAATAATGGCGAGAACTGATAAAAAAAAAGAGAAACCAACAAAAACCTGAAAACAGGTGAACATTTGTGCCATTAGAGCATTTGAGTTTTAATTTATTGTATGTTTATGCTCAGATTTGTTGAGTAAATCAAATAAAGGTGCTTTGTTTACATTGAGCGCGTACCGCATTAGACCTGAAACCACTGCATTAACTCATTCAAACTTGTTTTTATACTTGATTTCTTAGTTTGCACCTTAAACGTCTGACTGACAATTTGTACACAGTTTGTTTAAATAAAATCATCCCTGTAAGACATTCTGTTGCAGCGCCACACTTCCTGTCACCTCTCTCTGTGGCCACTTTGTGACCACGAGCCGGTTCTGGCTGGTTTCCAGCTCCAGATGTGAAGCAGCTGTCCGCTGCGGCGCGCGCCGTTCAGTTGAAGGTGAGAGATGCGATGCGACTGTCAGCTGCAGGGGGGCCGCGCGCGCATGACATCATCAGCATCCTCGGGCTCAGCTCGCCACGCGCCCAGGAGGCGGCGGCATCTGGCCGAACCACAAACTCACGAGCCGCCGCCGCGCACTATCAGCACTACGTCACTCAGTTAAAGCTGAGCGCGAGCTGAGGGTATCGCGAGAGGCGCTGGTGGAGGCTGGACGCTGCTCGCAGCTGCCCCCCCCCCCCCCCTCCCTCCGCGGTCTGATCACACGGTCTGACACGCGAGCAGGACACGGACAGGACTGTAGCCGGGGGGAGCGGCACCAGGAGCGGCTTCATCACGGCTGGAAGGACCGGAGGGGTGTCAGCTGCAGGACCGAGGAAAAGGTGCGTTCACCTCTTAAAACACACGCGCGCGTCTGAGAGTGTGTTGCACAGGCTGTCCAGATGTGGTCCACTCCAGATGTGACAGTCATCTGTTCTCCCCATCATCATCATCATCATCAGTGTGTTTGGTCTATTCTCTCAGGTGTGTGTTTGTGTGTGTGTGGGTGTGTGTGTGTGTGTGTGTGTGTGGGGGGTGGGTGGGGTGTCAGTCATCCTCACACCATCCACGTGCGTAGCTACTTCAGTTTATTGCAGTTACAGGTGTTACTGTTCAGGCCGTCCCATCCGGACACTGCGCGTGCAGCCTAGACAGACTGACTTGTTGATGACCGCGAGACCCCCCCCCCCCCCCCCCCCCGTGTAGAGAACGAGAGTGACTTAAAGTTGCGTGATTGATGCGAGGCGCAGTCACGTTATTATACAGAGGAGGGTGACACAGCTTCGCCTCGCGCGCTAACACGTGAGTTAATATATAAATATTAGTGAGGGTTATTTTGTGAAACCTTTAGAAGAGTTGAGGTTTGGTCTCCAGATGGGACAACAGCTTGATGTCCTCAGCACGAGGACACAAACGCGTCTTTGTCCTTCAAACTGCCTCCACATTTAAATTTTATTCTCATATCCAGCCCAATAAAATAAACAAGGCAAGGAAAAAACAAACTAAAATATAATAATAATTGATGTGACCAAAGTAAAAAAATAAATAAAATAATATGTTTTGTCTCATCAGAAACTTTGGTTAATCCAGTCTAGTCTTGTTTTTTTCTGTCAGTCCGTTTTGATTTAAAATCATTGATCAGAAAGTTTTTTGTTCAACTTGAATGGTTTTGATTATCAATCAACCTGGGGTCGCATTCCCTCTTGCATCCACATTCTGGGAGCTTGTGAACCTCAGTGCAGCTGTGGTCAGAGTAACAGCTTCTTTAAGGGGGCGCTCTATAACTGCTGGCTAATTTAAAGGCTCAGCTGGATTAAAGCTGATGAGTTGTATTTAACAAAAAGTTTGACTCAGATGAGCCGTGTCTTTAGAGTCGGCCATTTTGAACCAGACGTTGACCACGTTGGACCTGTCTGGACTTTAGGATACAGTTATAATGCAATCATGGTAAACAACCCATGCGACGATGTTCTCTCCAGGGTTCAAATATGACCAAGAGTTGGGTTACAGTAGGGCTATTTTTAATCCAACAGTCTTTAGTGCATCCTAATTTTCTTTTGGAGTTTTTCAGACAGCTTTCTCTGCTCCCAGTATGGTGCTCCTGATAACAAACTTCCCAGTGGCTGTTTGTTCCCTTTAAATAGGCTGATTGTGTGTTGAGCGCTTGAAGGCACCTGTGATTCTAATTAAGGTCACGCAGTTTGCAACATGATTATAATGCAAAAATTAACGGTCTCTTTAACGGTAAAATTTGTCCGTATTGTTTTTCACACGTTTGTTTATCATAGATTAAGGGCTTGCAGATGTTCTTCAGACAAGCGCTTTAAACTGAATCAGCCTTATAAGAGAAATAAAATGCTGCAAAGGCACCAGCACATGTTTTCCATCTCTGTGTGGATTAATGTGTGAGTTT